CCACACCACTCTCGCGACTTGAGGGCGCCAAATCCGACTGATTCTTCACTCCTCCTCCTCCTCCTGAAGCAACCTTAAAAAAGGGAGACAGTGCACCAACCACACATGTAAATTATCGCCAATCACATGCTTCCTGTCCAATCCTCCACGTGCTCTCACAAAACCTCATCGGCAATGTCGACAACACCACACCATTTGCAGACACTGTCCATCCATTTCGCTTCCCCTCATCTCATCACTTCATTACATGACACTCCTATGCTCGTGCATAACAGCCTCTCACTACAACACCTCCACAATTCACACAATCAACATTGTAGGAACGCTATTGAGGGATTTGTATTCATGCTAACCCACTGATCCTCGTTCATCCGCCTCCTTCGTCTCACCTCAATCATTCTCCTTCAATCACCTTGCCTTTTTATTGTCTTTCCAGCTTATTGTGGGTCAATTTCAAACCTATTGCTGACATTAACGGCATCACACCTACGCCCCCAATGCGGAAGAGAACATGGGCGACCAACCAATAACAACCGCGTCACATCTAAACACCTTCCCACCAATTTAAAGCAGACAGCTTACAGCGTTGTTGCGAGCATTCGACAACCCATTTTGAACCTTTGAAATGCACGCACGTCTCTTGGCAGCCAAATCATTCGGCATCACCTCCTTACTTGTAGCAACATCAGTGGTGATGCCCTTCACCGACTCATCGTGTGTTTTGGTATCTCCCACTGCACCTCCCTCTTGTCTCGATGCCGCGTTCACCTGAATGAGAAGAGGGACAATTGCATGCCCACAATTACCGACAATGGCCTCGTTACAGGCAAGCGTAGTGGAGACGGCAGGAGTACCTACCACACTGCGGTGGAAAACGAAGGAGCACGGTCCTCGGGGTACCTGCACCATTGGCTGACACGAGGACAGGGAGAGGGAAGGGGAGGGAGACGGGGAGGAGGAGGAGGAGGAGGCGGAGGCGGAGGGAGCCTCCGTAGACGTCTTCGGAAGGCACGAGGTGGATAACGCTGATGAAAGCACAGCGTTTCTCGCACGCGTCCCTCCAGCTGACACATCGGTACTCCGCGCAGCAGGCGTGGAAGAAGGAGAAGACGGTGGCGGAACTGGTGGTGGTAGCAATGCTGGCAGTAGTGCAGGTCGAACCACATCCACAGCTCTTGGCGACTCCGATCGCAGTCGTTTCGCAGGTACACCTCCCGCATTCCGTGACAGCAACAAGTTTCGCCATAACTGTCGACCTTCCTCACCCGCGGAGTCCTCACAACATCCCCTAATTTGTCAAAACACCAATCCGTAATCGCCACAGACGCCACCCACACTCATCTCAACGACATTTGACGCCTTCTTCACTACCACCATCGCCTACTGAACGACAGTAGCAACAACAACACCACAACACACTCGAAAGCACAACCCTCACTTCACACAATCAATCCACTCCCCAACAGTCCACACATCTTGTGCCATTAGGCCGAAACTGTAGATCAATTGGATGCAATGAGAGACGTGATGACGCCCAACCACAAACAACAAGGGACGAACACATGTTCGACACACTCTACACCCCA